CAGGCTCTTAACCTGATATCATCAGCAGCTGAGTTTTTTTTAATCGAATATTTTCTCTAACAACTTAACCGAAGATTGACTACAATTTCATACAACTATTCAAAAAGTCTGTAGCTGAAGCAAAAAGACTGCAATTTCGGAAAATGGGTGTAATTACATTGAAAATTCCCTCTTTCAAGACACTGATTAACAATACAAAATGCAATTAAAAAGTTAACTTTTCATCAAGTCTTTTTTGTGCATTCTTATGGAACAGTGCATCGATTGTAATTCGATCGCATAAATAGTGAAGCTAAAGTTGAAGTTTCAGTGGCAAAGTGAAAATAATACCTCCTTCCGCTGCTGTTTCTTCGATTTGTTCATATTCACCGTATCTGGATTTTGTACAAAATCCAAACATTGTTCAGAATAATGATCAAATTGCGAGTGTCTCAATTGTCAGGCAGAATTTCTTTCAAAAACTGAAAGATTGTAGAGTTTTCTTTTAGTACACCATTTCACAAACTATCATTTAATTTACTAACGCAAAATAAATTCAACTGATTTTGAAGAAAGTTTTTAAACAGTTTGTTTGCTATGAAATTCGACTTATTCCCGAGCACGAAAGTCAAAACAAAGCTTAGCAATAAAACACATGCCACCACATTCAAAAACTATCAACGTATTATCATTGATTATACTCGAATGACTGAGCCCATTGATATGTCTCTCTCTCTCTCTCTCTGATTTCTATATCAATTGAGTTTCCTGTTATCATTAGCTATTGAATCGCATTGAAGTGGAGGGCGATAATCAAATCTATCTGTAAATTTTACCACGTGATTGGAACAATTCGATTTCGATAATAACTACGATTCAAGTACATGTTCACTGAACATTGTTCATATGTGTGTCATATGCCTCTGGAATGGATATGAATGCATTCATTTTCTTAGAATTGTCATGGGATCATATTTAAATATATTCGCTTCAAGTGAATCGCTTGGTTTGCCGAAAAATATTCGTAAAAAAGACGAACATTGATAACGATATGCAGTTCTCTTCCGATGAACCAACGTACAATTTGTTCACGCATCTTTATTTATGAAGATTTATCGATTTAATCGGAAAATTGTCGGGCAAATGATGGTTTCATGGAGATTCATTAGAAAATTTGACAAGATGCGCTCATTTCCGTAGCACAGGTATAAAATGTATTAAAACCGTTTACATGTAGCACACACACACTCTCTCTTTCTCTCTCTGTGTGACACCCTCTATCCGTTTTATCCATTTCCATGAATTCAAATGAAAATGTGTGTAGTTTTTCCCTTCTCCCTCTCCCTTTCTCTCATTCCATCTCGTTATCTGTCTCTCGATGCTCGAAGAAAAACTGTATAACAGTTGATACAATATGACTTCCTCGCGCATTCGCGAATACCCGAAGATTGGTGTTGCGGTTTGCTTCGATTAGGTTAGAATTCTTGAAAAGTTTTCTAACGAGATTTAAATTAAAATCCCGTTGATGTTCGCTGTGTTCATGGCCAATGTTTGAATACATTCAAAAGTTTAAATAGTTTTGCCGCACCCGAAACTGTATGGTGTATAATATGTTTAATATTAAAGTAACGATATTGAAACGCTAAATATTCTATGTAATTACTTCTGAACTCTGGCTGAATGTTGATTTCGTCAGTTGTGAAAGCTTCGTTGTACTGGAATGTTGCAGGTGTTTTGCGAGCAGTGAAGAGTTCGAGAGTTTTTCCGTTCAGTAGCTTCTAATTTATTTCGAAATTAACTTTGTTATCATTTTCATCACTTGAGCGATGTATACCGGGTTTTTTTTTTCTTCGGTGCATGTATATTATTATCATCGTCTTTTCAGAAACAATTTTCATCAAAATCATACATGTAATCGGACTGTTTTTCACTTGGATTCATTTTTTTTTTTGTAGCTGCGCCGAGTTTTGTGTTGCCGCTCGAAATTGGTTTGCCTCCGGGGTGCATTAAAAATGATTTAGATTCTCATGACTTTTATAATGGCTTTTCTGCGCGCTTGGAACACAAACTCTTTTGCTAAATTTCGTCTCCATTTTTTTCCCCGCACGTTGCGTGCACGTACAGCACATAATTCGTGAGTTCCACGAATTCATTTCGGTAACAGAGAATCATGTCTCCCGGAAAATGCATACCGCTTTTTATCGTCACACAAATACACATATGATTTCTTCGCCACTTTTTTTGGGGAGATTATTTGTAGTCGGTTTTCGGCCATTCAACGAGACAAATTCAGTGTGACCAAGTCGTAAAAAAAACGAAAATTAAACTCATATGGCTGCATTTACAAACATTTCCCTTGCAAAACGAACGAAATAGTTTTTTTTCTCGTTCGTTTGTGTGCAGTGTTGTTGCTGTGGGGGAATGTACTAAAACTATATTTAGACGACAAGTTGACAAACAACCCACCCCAACTTCAATGCATGTCATTTCACCATATTTATTTGATAGATTGAATGCACTCATACAATAGCAATAAAACAACAAAGATTTTCACGACAAACTACACACATTTATTGAAATTGCTTTGGCAGCCGTCAAGTGTGTGTATGTGTCGACATATCGATTTATTTATTGTGAACATAGCTTATCGAACTCACACAAATTGCACGATGATATGCGTCCACTTGTGGAAACACGAACGCTTTTTTATTTATTAAATATGGTTTTTCTCCTCTATTCAAATCGATTTCACTTTGACGAGCATGCATTGCAGACTGATATTCATGTTGACTAAGCGGAAAATCGTCGATGTCATATGACATTCAAAGATGCAAATCCTGCATTGAATATTATTGAATATTACTCAAATGCATTGTTCATGGTTTATTTGTTTTTTTTTTTAATGAAATTGAGTTGATTTATTTCAACATTTATTTTGACAAATTAATCCAAAACTATTGCATGTGGCAAACAGATTTTGTCTTGCCAATCATTTTTCCAAATAAATATATCAATTTCGTTGAGAAATGACACTAAACAAACTATGACTTACGCAGATAACGCTTGATAGCATGGATGCACTTTCTTTTTATCAATTATCGATTGAAACGTGAGATAATATATTTGATCGGTTTACGATGTGGATTTTATTGATACAAATAAGATGAGATCATCGGACTTTACAATGTGTCACATCCAACTTGAGCTATACCATCTCTCTTCCTTGCGTTCTTGCTTCATGCTCATGTCTTCCTCGTCGTCGACTCAAGTTTCTTTCTCCTCAAGTTTTTCCAAAACCGAAGTTAGTTTATAAGTTAAAATGTGAAACTTTTCGATTCTGTCGTGCAAAATATGAAATCTCAATGATGCTCTCAACTTAAGTTTGACAGCGTACGATTCAAGCTACCAAGCGACGGAGAAAAATTAAAATCTATTTGAATTGATTTTGACTTTGGTGGAACAATGTTGTTGTGCAGGCAAAAGAAGCGCCGTATTTTTCCATTCTTGTTCCTTTTAACTTCGATCCTTTTTAGTCAGAAATTCTGAGCGTTGAAAAAAAAGAAGCTTTTTGCATCGTCGAAATCACTTATTCCGAATGACAAATCACAACGGGACGTCAAAAGTGCAATTCCATATATTTTTGACGTGGAAATTCCGCAACATTATTTCTATCGTGCTTTGTCATTCTTTCGATCTCTGCATATACTTTCGATTTGTGTGCACATCTATCTGTAACTACTGTTGAATTTTCTTCAATTTCTGCATCACCGATTTCGTAGAAAACATTCGGTGTCATTTCATCGAATGTTCTGTGAACCAATCCATTGCCACTTTTTCATGTTGAGAAATTGAAAACAAATTGACCACTTGAATCATAATTTTATTTCGCTCAACAGTTTCGAACTGGAATCAATACATTTCAACCGTGAACGACAAAAATTGATTGGGTTGATCAAATGTTAAAAGTGAATCCAAGCAAGTAGTGTTAATTGATTTCAGAGTGCAAAATTTCTGCAACAACGATAACAACAAAATATTGAGAAACGGAAAAGTTTCAACAGTCACTATAACAAAGTTACAGATGATTTTTTTCCGGAATTGGTATTGTTTCAATTTCAGTTGCACACAGGTCAAATGGAATTAATATTTTTAAGTTTTTTTTTCTGTATCAGACTCTCTTCATTTCCAAATGATGACTATGGAGAGACCAAAGACCCGAAAATGATGACTAAATATTCGGAAAATGTACGCCCGCATACATTGATAACAATAATTCATCAGCGTTTTAGATGATGATGGCATAAACATTTCATGTGAAACATTTTGTACGGACACACCAGAAGAACAACGAACCACAACCGAACTGAGCAGTGGGCATTCAAGCTGATGAAAACAAGACAAAAACTAATTAGGTTTCCATTGCTTGTTTTCCTCGTGTTTCATTCTCTTTTTCGAGATTTTCTCTCACTCTAACTCTTCGTGTCATTCTTCCTATTCATTGTGCTCTTCTTTTTTCCTTATCTTCTTCCTCTCTATCTCTCTCCCTCTGTCTCGCTCTGTCTGTTTCGCTTGTATTTCCTCACTTAACCAATCTCACAGCAAAAAGTATTTAAAAAGCATAAACCGAAATGAATTTAGAATCGTTGAATCGAAAATGGTTGGTTTTTGTTGACGTATCATCGTCGTCGTCGTCGGCACTTTTCGATGATTGCGCATACGTTGTCAAAAGCATGTTGCAATGAAAAATTGCGTGAAACTATGTGGGTTTGTGGTTTGACGGTATTTTTTGTGAAAGCTAATGGTTGATATAGTTGTATGCTGAAACCTATAATATTTGATTTTTTGAATAGCGTATATTGTGGTAAATTATTTTGTATGATATGTTGTCAACAATTGAAAATGCACTTTTGTCATTTCGATAATTTGAGTACCAGTGAAAAAAAAAACCCGTTGTGAATGGCTGAGTACATGAACCGTTTCCAAAGCGTTATAAATTAAATATTAGTTGTTATTACTCAAAGTGCAGGCATCATATAACGTTAATGGATGAAAATGTTTCGATGGCAAAGGTGATTAAATCGTGAAAAAAATGTGTTGTAGAAAAGACGTGTGCGGACAAAAGTCGAATAAAAACAATTGAAAATATGAAGTGACTAGAAGTCAGTGTGTTAGCATCCAATTTATTTTTCTTCAATGAAACCAAAACGGTTATAAAATTGTGAATTGACTGTAGTGCAAAAGTCAACGGTGGTGTCGTGTGTACGACGGGTCGAGATCGGTGCCCGTCGTGTGTGTTCACATCGAAATGTCGCAAATGGAGACGAGTGACGGTGAAATGGTCGTTGATAACGACGAATCGGTGAATGTGATCCAAACGAATCGTTGTATGCATTTAACGCTTCGCATTCTATTCTCGACACCGGGCTTGTGCGTCTTAGTTGTGCTGTACTCATTGATGGGGGCTGCAATATTCCCATTCTTCGAAGCGCCTGAACTCCACAACAAACTGGCTGTCATCAAAAGTCGCGAAGAATGCTTACGCGAACTATGGACGATTACCGGTAAGATTTATGAAAAGAAACCACAAAATGAGTCGACATTTTTTTCTCTCTCTCTCTCTCCCGAATTTGCTCATCAAAATTGGATTTTTCAATTAAAACTTTCGATTAAATCACATTTTGGACGCATTTTTTCGGCGTTCGAGAGGGCAAAAAAAAACGTCGCAGAAAAACGAGAAAGAAAAATAGAGCCAATCACATCTTCTTGTTATGACAACATTCTTTATGCGAATCACACCAATGAAAAATGAATGAAGAGTGGCATCTCTTGAAGTAATTTATTAATTTGGAACTTAGAAAATAAGTTAGCACTAGAATTATGGCGCAGTATTATGGTTTTTTTTTGCTCGCATAGTGGTGGTGGTGGTTGTTGGCATAGTCAGCTCATCGAAGACATATCATCATAATTTTCAATTAATAATGTGTCACATTGAATGAAATACAATGGATAAATTGATGGTCATATATCACATTGATTCCAAGCGCTCGCTTGCGCGCTCCTCCACCATCTCTCTTACTCTTCGATCTGCGCTTATCGTTCACGGGACCTGTAATGCGAGGGATAACAAATGTGCATAAAATATGAGCGATTTTTTTCCCTATCGGTGTGTGTATGTGTCATTCCCGTCCATTCCTTTCGTCAGCTCTTGGATTTTCGTTTCCGTTTCTCGGTTCGGAATGTCCATGGAATCGATAAATGTACATGCAATGCTTTCATACGCATCGAATGACTTTCAAACTTTGTACATTAATCGCAGCACTCAAATATGCCCGCCCACCCACCGCTTACGACCTTCAAACTTCGGGAGTGCTACTGCTTCGAACTAAATGAATCGACCCGTCACTGAATCAAATGTCTAGTATTTTGCCCAAAAGTTATGATTATATTTTAATATAGCTGCGGTACGTGACATTTGGCGCACAGATAGAAATTAGGTTCATCAAATATGAAAAAAACACTATTTATCTGAGGTATTAGCTATTTTTTTCTTATAGTCAGCAGGAGAAGAAGCAGCAGCAGCAGCATCAGGCAAAATATTATTTGGCATAAGCCATATGTACACTTTGAGGACATTGCCATTAGATTTTGGCGATATTTTCTCCCTCTCAATGGAATAAAACACACATACACAGAAAAAGAGGGAGCTAGAGAAGAATAGAGGGAGACGGTGAATACGATGAAAATATTTTGCGCAAACTTATTAATGTCCACAGATGACATTTATAATGAATAACCAGAATCATCATCATCTCTCTATATATCGGTGCTACTTTACTGCCGTTTCATAGCCAATGCACGTGGTCACGCTTTCATTAAGTCTTTCTCGTGCTGGAGCGGAGTAGGAAGGGGCATTTTTCATTTCTTTTAATAATAAGCTGCTAAAGTGGTTCCGATTATCGACTCTCGAATTTTTATTTCAAAACCACCACGGAAACATATATCTCATTTCGATCCATACACACACACACACACGCACATGCACATGCACAACATTTTCCATAAATTTGAACGTGTGATGAAAGCAAATGTTAAAGCAATTACAGTTCCCAAAATATTTCTCATTCGAACGCCATTTTCATTTCGTTGGAATTATTTTTTTTTCGAAAATATTCTCCTCATCAAAAATGAATCTATGCTCAATTCAAACGTTTAGGTTTTTTACGAATTCTCGGAACAGGCCATTGTTTCATAATATCACATCGATCTATTTATAATAACACATTTCGATAATATACATTCAATCAAGGGGTTAAGAAAGGTTTTCAATTAAATTTCGATCCAGAATTTTTCAAATTTGAACGTAATAATTATGGCATCCCTTCCGAATAACCAAAAAAAGGACATTCAATGTGGATTTTTTGCTAGACAACAAATATAATAACTTCAAGTGAAGTCCATTGCTTATTAATAATAAACATATTGATAGAGACTCGCTCTATTATGGTCCCAAAGATAATTGGCCATATTAAAGCATATTAAAATAAGTAAATTTTGATATTTGTTGCCGAGTCGCTTCAATGCTTTGACACCGAAAATTGAATATAATATGAAAAAGAGTCGAAAATATTTATTATCTCCTCTTTTGAAACGCAAAGAAAAAATATTTCTGCTGAAGAATTGTTTTTCAACATAAATTTACCGTTCAACCTTCTTTTTTTTTCATTCACTTCAAAACGGTTTGTTTCAGTCTCAAAAGTCCATAGAAACATTTTTTGTATGAAGTCATGTGAACTTAATTTGGTAAAAGAGCTTGATTAAATTTATTTTCATGTGAAATGGCCGTTTTTAGTTAGAATAAATTTCGTTGTTGAGCGCGTCAAACTAGTTTACATGAAGCAGAATGACAAAAAAGCAAGGAACAGTGTAACATTTCAATTTTCATTGCAGCATTTTGCAGTTCTTTCACAACAACAATTTGCATTTGGCAGCTGTTTCAATGTTTGAAGTTGATTTCCACTGCTCTGCATGAACACCGTTTTTGTTTGGTTTTGTGTAACATACACACACTGGCTTCATATTCAAAATATCAAACAATTTCTGGTCAAAATAATGATCAAACGCGTGCAAATCTCTCTAATAGAGTGTTTAGTTTCAATAAATTTGGCCATCACCTCTAAAGAATTGTGTGAAAATGTAAATTTGCGCCATTTGATAAAAGAGACGAGATTGTAATGTACAGTGCACGCGCGCGTGTATGTGCAATGTGTATTTGGATAATTGAATTTGAGTTCCATTCAAATGGTTTGAATTAAATTGCTTAATTAGAATGTTTTCGTTTCAATTATTCCGATTGAATTTTCGAAACAGCAATCAATAATCCGCACAATAATTAAATCAAATCGAATTCACATTAAGCCAACAAGAACAGAAAATATTCCGCATTTTATGCGACTTCGACAAAAGTATTTGCAAAAAATGGGGAGCTGGTTGTTAACACATGAAACCATAATATGTATGTATATTGTATATCCTGGTGGGTCGAGAAAAAAAACGAACGAGCAACCAGACGATAGTATTTTACATCGTCAATTGCATGGCATTCGGTGCACTTTTACATGGTTGCACGTGATGCCCCATATCATCATGATTATTGTATGAAACTAATTTGTGTTGTTTTTGTCTATGTTGTTGTTGATGTTGATGTTTTTCTTTCTCTTTCTCTTTCTCTCTCTCTCTCTCCATTTTTGCAGAGCGTTTAAATGTGTTGTATGAACGGAATTGGACAATGCTGGTGCACGAACAATTGCGTCGTTTTGAAGGCAGCATTATTAAAGCAACAAAGAGCGGACTCAACGAAGCGATGGGCGAACGTTTACCACGATGGACATTTACTGAAGCACTACTATACTCTATAACACTAATCACGACAATCGGTAATTTTCCATTTTTTTTTTCAACCGTTTTGCATTTGGTATCTCCCTGCAGGTCGCTCCGTTGTTTTATTCTTTTCCACTTCCAATCGTATTGTTTTCGAATTTAATGGAATCGATGATAAAATGCAGGCGGAAAAGGGAAAGGAGTTGATTTTTGTTGTTGTTTAATATTGAAAGAATCGGACTTCATTCATTTTGCAAAATCGAGCCTATCGATTTCTTTTTCTATGAAATGACGAAACGGTTGCATTTAATGCGTGCAAACAAACAACTTTAACGCTATTGAAATGTAAACTAAAGCCGATCGTAAAAAGATATCAATGGAAAGGGACATCAAAACCCTAATCCGATAATCTGTTGGTTGAATTTTTTTTTTCGCCATAGCTATAGTCATTGGTCATGAGTTTAGACAAATTTGTTGTTCGACAATGGGCGAGTTCAATGACCATGGAACGCCGAATGCATTTCGTATCAAGAATTTTCGAGTCGGCAGTGTTTTCCTTTCACATGAGCTTAACACTAAGAGGGAGGTGTTTTGGATGGACAGTGAAAGAGAAATGCATATGTAAATAGTGTTTATGGAAGAGAAAAAAAATCGATTCGTATTACAGTTATCAAGTTTTGGATGATTTTCCGCATACATGCTCATATATGTATCAAATTCCGACCGGAAATCGTATTCGTGTCATGCACTTTATATCTATCTCTCGCCCGGCACTTTTATGTTCAAGGCATTCCAATCAATTGAATCTTGTCGAAATGATAAATGAAACATCGTACGCATCCATTCAGCCGTCAATATCTCTTTTCAAAATATGAAATGTGAGCGAAAGAGAGAGAGAGAGAGAAAAGGTGAGCACAAATATCGGATTAAATACGGCATGCAAAGTATATACCTCTATTCTTCTCTCTCTCTCTCTCTCTCTCTCTCTCTCTCTCTCTCTCTCCCTCAATTCATCGTCGATTATTATTCTAACTGCGATTGAAAGCAATGCGAAATATCTCAGGCACTGGCACCTTCAATCGGTAGCTGCCTGCTGCTGTTTGGTTGTGTTCATCATCTCTTTTGAGTGCCTTTTCCATTCCCCCTTCCCCCCCGTGCAAAACTACCAGACGCATCCACGTTTTTGGATTGAAAAGTTTTCACAAAACCCTCGATATATTTGATTCGTTACACGAAATCAAATTACGTCGTCGACATGAGAAATGATTTTATGATTATTGTACATGGCACCAAGCGATGATGGTGATGACGATGACGATGACGATGACGATGTATCGAAGTCTCTTTGAATTGTTAAGCATTGAATATGTAGCACTCGACTTTCCATTTTGTCATTTATTCGCTTATTCAATTGAATTTTCGGTAAATAACTGAGCTTTGCATGTTCAACACTCACACAATAGACACGCATACACACACACACGTAACGAGAGAATGGGAATCAAAAAGCCGAGAAGCATATGGAATTTTCAAAGAATAACTTTTTTCTACCATTCTCGAGAAAATCTCGAGTCTATGTACAGAGATTTCCTTCCCCTCTATCACCGGCTCAACGTTACCCAATTAAAATAATGCCATTGTCTTATTTGGTACGGCCTTTTTGTATTGATTCATTTTGCAAATCGAATTTTCATATTTCAATGGACAATTCAATTGTGAATATTCCAGAACGAGAACACGACAGAAAGAGAATTGTTCGAGTATTTTTTGGAATTGTATATATGATTTACAATCTTTTGAATTTCCGGGTAATCCGGTTTATCGTATAGGCTACGGAAGTTTAACACCGAAAACGGTTGAAGGGAAAATTGTAACGATGTGCTATGCATTGATCGGAGTACCATTGATGCTGATGTGCTTATCGAATTTGGGCCGTGTTTTAGCCGAATCAGTGCGTCAAACATATGCTCGGCTTTGCATTCGACAATCAGAACATCATAAATGCCCCACCGAAGACATTGACGATCAGGACACATACCATGGTCACACGTATCAATCGGCTGAGGAGAAAAATGAGGTAAGTGGCTGCTTTTTTAGTGCTGTTGAAAAAACGTTGAGTTTTGAAAAAAAAAGTCCGGTTTGTTCAACGATTGTAAAAAAATTGAAATTATGATAAGAATCTTCATTGCGATGAATTTCGTTTATGAACGAATGAAAAATTACAGCCTCACTCTACTAGACAAACATTACGAATTAGTATCATTAATCATTAATAAATAGGCTCATTACGAAATCCTCTAAACATTTTTACATATGAATTCGTATTTTGGTACAAAAACGAAATTCTTCTTGGAAAATTCCAATTTCGTAATTTTGCGAAATCAATTGAATTCAAAAAGAAGAAGAAAAAATATAAAAAATCAGAAAAAGAAGTGCTCAAAGTAGGAGAAGGTGGGGAAATTCGGAACGCACATCGAAATAATTTAATAACATTCTAAAAAATTAACATTTTTCCAAATTCCAAAGTGGTACGACTTGGTAAATATAAAAACCTAACTTTTGGACCTTGCCGCTTGTTGAAATTCAAATCGGTTGAAAAAATATACCCTGTTGGCAAAAAACCCTTGATTTTGCGATTTTCAAAAATGGTGGGGAAATTCGGAACACTCCATAAATGGATAGAAAACTGAAAGAGGAAAAAGTTCAAAAATAGCGATTGTTGTTATTCGGATTTGTAATTGTTGCGTGTGAAATAGCTACCAATCATTTTGGTGCATTTCAAGTGGACAGCTCGATCACATAAATTGCAATGAGTATTTTGTCAAAATTTTGCATGAAATTTAATAAATATGCATGAAAAATGCGATATCAACTTGAAAAGTATTAAAAATCACTTGATCGATTTTTCGTATATAGGGCGTTTCGAAATTCCCCACTCACTAAGGCTTACAACATAATCGTGTTTCCGTCACTCAATGAATTTTTATGCAAAATTCCTTTTGTGAGTCGAAATATTAATGGTATACGATAATTATAAACATATTCATCAGAGTTGATTCTTCGAAAAATGTCGTGAAATCAATGCAGACAGGCCTAGGGGGTAGACACAACATTTAAAACTTGAACCTTTTTAGATCTTTTCAAATCTCGAGCAAATCCAAATACTTTTGAATCTCTATGAATCCTTATGAATCTTCTCAAATCAAAATGGCTGACTTGTCAAGAAGGTCAAACAAATCAGTAAGATTTTTACAAATCTTTTCAAATCCCTTCAAATCTCAATGAATCTTCACGAATCTGAACACCTCTACACAAAATCAATTAAGTATTTTGAAAAACGAACGTATCTCAGATCTTGTGTCTATCCCCTAGAGACAGGCATTCTCAATATTAAATTTTCATGACTTGATTTCATGTCGATGTCTAACAGTACGTACACACTCGTCGAGTGCTAATGGAAATATGAGGTTTTGTTTAGAGAAAACGATGACAGTTGTTCACATGTCTTAAACTATTCATTGGCGGCGAAATTTGGCGGTGTTCCGAATTTCCCCACGTTCTGAATTACCCCACCTTCCCTTCAAAAAAGAAGAAGAAAATAAAATAAATGACAAACGTGAACGTACAAAAGAGATGTGCATTTCCTTTGGAATAATCAAAAATTCTCTATTTTCAGGCTCAAGACTGTCATTTGTGTCAGTACAATGACATCTCAAAGGAATCACCCATGTACAGAGCTAACGATCGAAATGGTAAGAACCGGCTTTATAGTCATTGCTGATTGTGTCCTTCCATACAAAATGCAGAAAATAAATGAATAATTTAATTAAAAACAGGTCCATATCATCTGATAACTTCATCACCAACAAAATCAATTTTAACAAATTCCCAACATTCGTCGCCACAACGACTGGCCGTCGGACCGGATCATCCATTGAATCAGCCGCATAAAAAGCTACCACCAATGGTTGCACCGTCTAAAGGTTATGTGATGTTACCGTTACGAACAATAAACGATTCACCAAATCATCAACTCATTCAAATACAGCATTCAAATCTTGACAACTATTGCCGTAAGTCATTCGAAATGAAATTTCTCCACTGCCATTGAATTACGATTTTTAATGAAGTGAACTGACTTTATTACTACTCCTTATACATCAAATATGATTCATAAAATTTGCATCGTTTATATTTGACGAAATTGCCAGTTGCACTCTAATCATTACTAAATCATGATTCCATTTCGGTTCTGCGTTGTGAATTTCATTTGGTTGCACGGACTAAATATACCACTGCTTTTTCTTCAGAATTTCTCTCTCTCTCTCTCTCTCTCTCTCTCTCACTCTCTGTGTGTGCCATTTCGAAATTCTCGCTCTTAACGAACATTCAAACAAAATATTGAAGGGGATTACTTTTTGTCGTTATTACAGTAAGTCGACTTCAATATCATTTCCAACCGGTTGCATCGGGACCGCATGCAATTTTCATGCAAAAAGATGCGAATGGTGAGCATTATTTAACCACAACGACAACACAACCAAATCCATTGTATGTACCACCACCGAATCCGTGCCAATCAGCAATTCCAGCGGGCCAACAACAGCAACATCAACAGCAACAGCAACAGCAACAGCAACAGTTTCACCTGCTTCGTTTGCAAAGCAACCAGCCAAATTCACAAAACAATGAGCTGCGCACCGAAAACCAAACAATGCATATCAAACAACTTCACACAGCCACCGTTCATGGTAAGCTTTGGTTTCCGTTTACTGCGGCTACATTCGTATTTGCAACAGCCATTCCATTTGCACTCTCTTCGGCCGCGTCATCTCACTCTCTCTCTAACCTTCTGTGTGTGTGTTTGCACATTTTGAAATGCAAAAAACCATAAAAACTTGTTTATGATTTCGCATTTTATTGTAAATGCGTGCATTTCAAAAACAAATCCGGTCTAATGAAATTATGTTTAATGGGAGTTTTTGTTGTGCTCTTTTTCTTTTATCGTTTCACTTTAAAACATCAAATAAAACAACTGATGACGATGACGACGACGAAATGGTGATGGCGATTGTGACGACGGTACCCGATGAACAACAACAATCAACGAAATGTGTTTGTGTGCGTGTGTGTATGGCGACTGACAGGACTGGGCCGAAGCAAATTTTTGCCAAAGCCATTACCTCAAGAAATAAATATGCTGCTCTCGGAATGTGACATCGGTTGTTATCCAGACGCTAGTGAAAAATCATCACCGCCAACAGCATCAATTACAACAACAAACGACGTTGCAAAATCTGACAGCCCACTACCCACAGCTGTTGTCGGTTGTGTCGATAGCCGTAATGCAAATAATTTAGACACATCATTAGAAGACGATGATGACGATGATAACCGAATCGGGTGAGTATGTGTATGTTTGTGTGTGTGTGTGCGCGTGTCTATGTATTTGTTAGCAAAGAATGAATCCTTATTTCTCGGTTTGAAGAGCATTCGACAAGCATTTGATTTATCACCTTCGCAATCGATCGAACAAACAAACGACGCCTGCCATATTATCCTCTACCCTCCACCGAAAAAAAAAATTACTTCCATTCCAACACAATATACACAATGGGTCTCATCAGAGATTCCGAAACGCAGCTGCACCGCTTTTCCATTCTTTGTGTGTCTCTTTTGAAACTTAGCACCCTCCGCACCATCCTCCAAGCCAATGCGAGAGGCAATGAGAGTAAACTTTGAAAATAACTCGAAATTATTGCACCAAACTCCAACTGAAGATTCAATTTCATTTTAAAGCACTTGAATAAAAGCTTTTGTAACCGTTTCAACGTTTGAACGGGGGAAATTGACGTTTATCTGAATGAAAACTAACCATTTGCAATGCACCCGAAAATTCCAGTCGATCTTTCTTTCTACTCGCTTTCTATCTACCTCACAGCTCCCCTATCTTTGCAACGGGTGTATTTGGATTTATTATTTCCGGAAGCTGATGAACTCGAACATTGCAAAAGCATCAATCTGAAAACAAGTGCCGAACTTTGAGCAAACGACCGAGAAAGAATGGATTATGCCGAGGCAACGGTGGTTTCTCTCTGTCTCTATCTCATTCTCCGCTGAGAGAGAGGCAGAAAGACACACACAAACATTTGAGCAAAAAAAAAATGAACGATGTAATTTCCGAAGATCTAAGGAAGAGTGTTGATTGCTCAAGCTGTTTGTTTGCCAACACTTACTTTTGGCACAAAATCGTCTGTGTCACAAAGCATATCACGCTGACACTTGCTCGTTGAAAATATTGAATAGCACACTATGTTGTTGCTATAGAAGAACGCAGAAAAAAAAATCAATATCGCTCATTTGTTCGGGGTGCTTGTCATCCGCCAAATTACTGCACTTTTCAACAAAGCTCCGTTTGAGCTCAGTATTATAGCCGAAATTGTGCGCCGCTCAGAGCTTTTCTCTGCCTTTTTTCATCCAAATCACCTCCCCCGTCTCGCGATTGTAATTTTTACATAGATGTGAATGCCGGGTGCGCGCGTAACGTTCAAAGTGAAATCGTCATCTATCAGTGTCAAAAATGGAAACATTAATTTTTGAGTGAAATCTTTTCCGAACAATGATTTGTGCGAATATGTTGCCCGCGAAAAAAAAGAGAACAGAGAGAATTGTGCTGCTTTTATTCGCATTATGACTTTTTTCCCCTTTTCTTTTGCATTCATTCATCGTGATCGACTTCTCATCGCAATGAAATCGCTTAAAATGTTTGGCTCCGTTCGGTGTCATTCATTCAGTGGAATAGGAAAGCGTTATGCGTATGAATTTGTGAATTTACAGCCATGAAAAAAAAAACAAGAATAGAATCGAATGATTGAAACTCAACGATATTGGTTCAATGACATGAAACGATGAGAAGCACTAAATTTAGAGAATTGAATTTGAACAACTCATTTTGTTAAAGTGTGTGTGCTGTTGTCTAAGACAGTACACTAATTTTAAATGACGTATGCTTTTCGATAGTCCAATTCAATAGTTGAACAAAAGAAGAAGCATGTTTTTTTTCCCTCCGAAGGAATACAATAGACGCAACGAGAATACGACACCGACACAAATTCAATAATGTCTGTTCTGGTGTGTCATTTCTCAACGAGCCCATTTCGCCAATCATTATTAAATTAAAAGCGGATTGTCATTTTGAATTTAAACCAACCATTTCCAAATGAAGTATGTTTCGAATTGAATTTTACATGAATTGTACCACTGTCCATATTGTTTAGATCCTTTTGTGCTGGCAAACCGCATTTGATACTCAACCAAATTGCTGCCAATCTTCGTCAAATTCGAAATAAAAAGCGAACAAGAACACATTGTGTGGCGATAGAAGAGAAATTGAGTCTAGATTAATCACCATGGTCAGTTTGGATTAAAGTCGTAATTGCCACTGGCCACCATTCAACGAACCACAAAAACCAACACAAGCATTTTCAGTAGGCAGTTGAGCGAGCCACTCATCACTCCCTTTTGATTCAAATGATAACAATCCCGCATTATTACAAATATGCGAAGCAAGTTCGGTATTGTGGATGGGGGGTAGCGCCGGCAGATTGGAATAAATGCACACCATATGAACTCAATAGCAATAAGAAATAACATCAAGTCATTCAAACAGAGAGTTTTACGCAATTTTCTCATAGCGCACGCAATGTCAGACAATCCGATTTGCTTAAATATCTTCTATTTCATTTGTTATTGCGATGATGGTATAAATCGTATGTTTCCAGCTCGATTGCGTAGCCGAGAGTTTCAGCTAGCTGGACTAGACCTAGTTTATGGTGCATAGAGCATTGTTTTTGGAGCGGTTTTTGGAGTTGGTCTTGACTCCTTCTATAAACATTGAGGGAAAAAAAGTCGAGAAATAGAAAAAAAGATCACCATAAAAAGCAAGCTGAAGAGCAAAAATATGAAAAATCGCTGCAAAAGGCGAATTTCCAAAGAAATGCAATGGCACATGAAAAATTATAAAATGTTAATTTGGCCAAAATTGAGTCAATCCAAAACGATTGAGTCGAAAAATTGTCCGAATTTTCGAATAGAAAAGCGGAAAGCAAAGAAAAACAATCGCATGCATTTCAGTAGTAGATACCTATTCTGGTTCGTATAGGTAATTGTGTTGATATTATTCAAGGGGATATTCTTCGAATTAAGGAAATGAATTCGTGGTACAGCTGCTGAATACGGATAAGAGAAATATCTTCGCATCCGGCCAAATGGTTCGATTATACTTGGTAAACATTCAAACAGTTGCTGAATGGTCAAAATGTGGTTGGCTAAGTACTCTATCTTTCTCTCTTGCTCTCTCTCTCTCTCTCGCTTCCTCCCTCATATCCAATGGATTAACAAAATCTGATCAGATTTCTGTATCTCTCGCTGTGTTGCGTGCCATGAAATATTCAACAAATCGAGGGCATATATCTTGATTTTTGAAATAGCAGTTAATATGTGCGTTGAGTTCGAGTGGAAGAGCAGTGGCATTCATTCGCATTTTGTGTGCAAACAAACAAACCATCCGCATCTATTCCATATTGATGACGACGACGATCGAAATCGAAATACAGGAAGAGAAGCAGGAAAAAAATAAATATAGAAACGAACGAGAATCATAAAAGCGGTATTCACAAATCGCATCGAAATAAACTTACACAGAGAGAGTGAGAGAGCGCTCAATGAAATGGCAAAATGGGATTGATGCCATTAATTTGAGGCAAAACATCAAACATGCGGCCAAAGATTGTACAAGTCTTTGACGCACTTCGTTTTGACTTGCTTTTTTTCCTTGCACAAAAGACACACTCTCCCATATTCACTTGCACGCTCTTTCGATCTGTCTATCTGCGAAAGCGACGCACTTATTTTATGGGACATATGCGGTTTTTACGCATCACAACGATGACAACCGTTAGTGTCAATGGTGGGATAGCTGTCGAACACACTTGGAATCTTGTCTTTCATTCGCATTTTGATTTTTATACTTTTTTTTTTTCGTTTTCTTCGCCTTTCGGTCTGTGTGGTGTGATTCAATTTTTCCCCTTTTGCCTTTTCACACCATACGAGCTGTTCCATCACCGGAGACGGTTTGGATTCATATGTGTGTGACGAAGATGGAATGAGGGTTTGCGAGGGAGGTGGAGGCCAACAAGCGTGTCGAGTCATAAAGCCAAAATGTGAATATGTTATTTAATGTTACAAAACCTCTAGCCTCTTCACTCTGATTCTCTTTATTGATTTCATTTAATTTATTCTGTGTTTTGTGTCCTCCGATCCTGATGCGAAAGTCACACAACACACATGCCATAATCCGAACACATTCACATCTCGTTTTGCCATCAGATTTTGCCCACACACACACACACGCGCACGTGTTACGTGCGAATTGAATTTGCTTAAGCAAACATTAAGAATTGATTTGGATGATATAGCCATTATGTCGACTGGACTTTTTTCTCTCTCGCTCTTCCTCTCTTCTCCTCTGCCTCTATCGGTTTTCCATTTGGATGGCGTTTGTGTGATTTGGACTAACCGAGATGGTGGTGGTGGTGGTGGTGTTCGAGACCCACAAGCGAACATGTGCTCACGCATCACAACGCACTCACACATGTCAGATATTTGATGAAACGGAAAAATGCCATCGATAAACAATCCAAAAGAACGAACGAAAGGAGCAAAAAAAACCACTAGGCCAATGCAAATGTTGCTACGTTTTTGATTTTGCTCGATTGCTTTTATGGTCGAACATGGATACAAATGAATCAACATTAACTATCGGCCAGTCGTTTTCAATTCGAGCGACCCTTTTTTTCTCTCTCATCCTCTTCTCCCTTGCTGACTCACTCTTGTTTCGGCCACAGCAGTGCCCGTAATTGAGCAATGCCATTTTAAGAGTAAACATTCAACATATGAATTGTTGTCGCCAGTTTCAGTGAAAGCAGCTTGAAAAAAGTAAACAGTTCATTGACGATCATTTGAAAAATGAAACCCTTCCCATTTCAACATTTTTTCTCTCCTTCGGTTGTTGTTGTTCATGCCAAAAACATTTTTCTAGCTTTTTATAATATAAAATTTTTTTCTCTTGTTCTACATCATAATAAAATGTCATTACCATTTTTCTTCCAACGAAAAATAAAACAAACAAGCAGTTGCGCTCATGGGACACCGTCTAGGATACCATTAATTGCCTTGAATCAACGGACAAAGTGCAGAGAGTTTTGCGATGAAAAATCTCGAGATAACATTGATCCGTACGATGGAAGAGTCGATACAGCCGCCCACCACGATGCATATTCAACCGCAATGGACGTTGAACCCAACGCTGTTGACGATCTGCAGTGCGAAGAAACGCAAGTGCCAATCATAGTTATCGTATCGATATTGACCATTTATATTTGTATTGGCACCGCAATATTTTCAATATGGGAAAATTGGAGCTTTATCGATGCCGGCTACTTCTGTTTTGTCACGCTGTCAACCATCGGTTTTGCAGATTTAGTGCCGCGCAAAACATTTCAAGGACCCGATTTACAATTATTTGCCTGCTGTACATACCTAATTGTCGGTTTGATTTTGGTCACCATGTCATTTACACTGCTCGAATCACAGCTGATGTGGCGTTGCAAACGCATGGCAATGCGACTCAAACGCAGAGAAAACTAGACGATCACTAAGCGGTAATAGTCACGGCAACGTGTGGCAATAAACAATTTAAGCCTAAAATTTAGTTAGGAAACCAAGATCATCATCTGAATGAGATTAGTATCGATAGTTCAGTCGATTTGTTGGAATGCTACTTGGAATACATGTGTGAAAATGTGTTGGACGCTAAAATTAAATTTTAACATATTTTTCTGATCTTAAGCTTCAACGCTTTTCCATGGGCCGAAAAGCATATAAAACCATATTTAATACGCAATGAACAGGTTTCCTGGGAATTTACTGTAAATTGACATCAATTTATAACACACCTATCACTAATTTGCATTATTATTTGGGTTTTTTCTTTTGATTTCATTTGATTTTCGTTGAATTTAAACTTAACGATTGGTGAAATGTAGCTGGAAAAATGTGTGAGTTTCTTCAATGTGGTGGTGTTGAAGAAGACGTGCAAAACAAGCAAGTTGAGATGATTTGCTAGGGAATTTATCGCGTCTCATTTGCCAATCATGGGACAACATTGAAAGCATTGATTTTGAAGCGCTAAAAATATTTTTTAGAATGACATTTTTTCTCAATTTTTTTTTTCGGTTCATCAACTCATTTTCTATCAAGCGTTTCCTAACACAAAATGTTCGAATTTTTGTTAAAATCCTAAACCTTCTAGATTATTGCTTCGAAATTCACAATTTATATCATTAAAAACACCGAGAGACAAATTAATTTCTGTTCAATGTCAAAAAGAAGAAATTGTTTTTGCTGTATTCTTATTTTTCATCATTTCTTTTCGTTTTTTTTTTAAGTGAAAAGAAAAACATTGACAATCGATTAATTTGCGTTATTTCGTTACATTTCACTTTAAGTGAATGAAATTTGTTGGTGTAATTCGTTGAATTAATCAATAAATACAAATAAAAAACGATCGAATGAGGCTGGTTTCGAAATTCAAACGAGCAATTAAAATAAACAATGTGTAGTTTATAAAATGCATAATGAAAAAAAATGGACAATTTCAATACAGATTGATAATAAAGGTCCCATTGTCAAAATTAGTGTAAAATGTTGCTTTTTCATGTTTCTTTCCTTACTTAAAAGAAAAGCTTGGCATTTTCATGTTGATGTGTGGATTAAAGGTAAGTCATCGGATGCAAACGACGGCTCATGTTATATCATTACACAAATCATTATGAAAATGATGACATTTTGTATGAAGTCGAAGCCAAATCTGGAAGAATCAATCAACTGTAACGACGGCAAGAAAAAAATAAAACAAACTGAAATGGTAAGAAAGACGATGAGGTTCAGCAACAAGAGCTTATGAATTGTTAAACATAAAAATTGAAATGTTGAATTTTCGGAGATATGCCACACACACACAAACCGAGAGCATGTGTAGCGTAAATTATGTTTTGAAAGTGCAACATAAACATTCTGGCGTGAATTTGGACAATACAAAGTAGCCGTACGTCCTTTGTGATATACAAACGTAACCAACACAAGGTTCATCGCCTTTATTTCTCCCTCTGGAAATCTGTTTATGTATTTGTTTATTCAATGTTACATTTTTTATCGTCTGTTCATAATTGAAGCAGCAAAATGCTCGAGAAATTTGCCTTTTGCATCCATTTAAATTGCACTTTGAATTTTACATGTAACACAGATGATGTTCGACGATAAAGAAGACGGTGGTAGTGGTGGCAAATATTTGAATGATTACGAGTTCATCGTCTTTGTTTTTCGTTCCTTTTATCTTCATTTTCCTCCAAAAAGTCTTTCACTTTCTTAAGCTGTGACGAGCCGATTTCGAAGGAAGAAACGGACAAAAAGAGATGAAAAGAGAAATTAACTTGTAAGTGCGGGCTAACTACAGAGTAAACAGAGGCAGTTAAACTACAGAACAAACAGTATTCCGCTTAATTTGATTGAAAACCAACACTAAATGGATTTTTATGCTCAAAAGCAATCGTTTTTGGTCACATTTCGATTTGATTTGATCGTCGGATGAAATGTACTAAACAAATGGCCGCCAGCAAACTGTTTTGCGTAACCTTGAATATGAGAATGAACAAAAATGGCAAAAAAAAGAGTTGAAAACCACATAAATTGCCAAAATGAAATAATCATTTTCGATTTGGCCACAAGCATTTTTGGTTTCACCCACGAAAACATTCTGCATAAACATTCCTATGTGTGGTATTCACAGTGCGTTTGCTTAGATATTTGTATTTTTTGAGAAGGGGCGGCTATGGCAGCAGCAAAAAACAAGTTATAAAATAAGAAGAATTCAACTAAAATTCAACTCATTCGTTGAACAAAATGTGTTATTGTTATTATGAAAATATTTTTCTTGCATTATGCTATTGTGTCGGTATATACCGGCAGTTTAGTGCGAGCGAACGAGCGAACGAGTGCCATTCGCATTGTATTTGCATATTTCCTTAGCATTTTCCATTGTTGTTGATTGCTTCTTCTCCGGCCGTTTACTGCTCTAAACATATCCCAAATTAGCGTATGAGTATGCATCAAAGTTGTTCTTCGACGTGTTGAGGCGCGCAATACCTGGCCGATATTGTTTTTGTTGTCATCGTCGTTGATGAGCAACGCTCAAAATATTTACCTTCAATTTTCGAAGTGGAGTTATGCTAAAACATACAACTTCGGATGTTAGGGGAAAACTTGCTGGAAATAGAAAAAGAGAGAGAGAGAGGGAGAGAGAGCACGCGCCGCGTTCGTTGAAAATTGTCATTGTTTGCTCATTCAAATTTTGTTACTTTCATTTGTTCGACATGTAATCTGGCAATTACTAAAAATATGCACGAAAATACTCCAACCGAGAATCGGGTGGCATCGTCATCTTCGAACCGAACGAGAGTAAGACTCTCGCTTACTGTCTCTCACTGTGTCTTACTCTTTTTCTCTCTCGTTCTTCTTTCGTTCCCTCTCTCGCTCTCTCGAAACATTTTCCCCAAATGTTCCATAAACATTCGCCGCAATTGATGCCATTCAGCAATTATTTCGGTGCGTTATTCACGCCACTTTCTCACTTCTCGGTTTCACTGCTCGTCTTTGCCGCTTCCAAAAGATATGTTTCGGAAAATTCAAGCGTTTCTTATTACCATTTCGAGCCATTCAATATGTGGGTATATATATGTGTGTGTGTATTTGCGTTTCGTCGCATTCGAGGAAAAAACCCAAAGAAGCGCGTTCCGGATGAGAACGTTTTCATGTAATGCTCTTCATTTGGCTGTTTAATTTCCATTTTCCATATTTGAATACAATTCAATTTTTTCTTGCTTCACATTCTCGTTTTTCTCTCTTTTCGTTTGCTGAAATGAACCTAATTGCACCATTGACAGCGCGCACGCAAAATTGTTGAAACAGAAAACCCGAAACAAGAGAAAAAGTTGGAAAGAGAGAGGGAGTTAAACTCAAAACAGGATCGGGTTGAAAAGAAGCCATTCAAAAGGTATTTCAAATTTGGTTGCAAGCAACCCACAATGCAAATTTAACACACGCATACGCACACAAAGGGAGAGTGAGTGTTCTTCAAAACGAAAAATGCTGTCATATTATTTTGAAAGTCGTTCGGTTTTCATGAGCCAAGCTAATTGCTATTTGTTTTAGGTGGAATTGTTCTTGATTGTGGCTGTGTAGCCAGCCACAAAGATGTTTCGATTTAGCTCAAGTGTGAACATTGATTACATTGGAAGCGCAATCATTTCCTTTTTCGCATGCCAACCAAAATTTGTTTCGTTGTTTAAACCGGCAAATATGTTGAAATGATTCATTTTGCACTTCAAATGTTAAACATTGTCATTATTTCCATCAAAAGAGTTTGGTTGCCAGTCGCGGATTTATGAATGCAGTCGTGTTCAATTTGAAATTTGTTTTCAATTGGCAAATTTGTTGCCGAGCATTTATCGTCTGTTTCGAGTATTCATTGCACTTTACTTTCTCGCTTTTGCCCGTTGCGTCGAAGTTTTGCGCCAGTTTTTTTTTTGAAGAGTGTTCTGAAGAAGTTCGCTTCTTCTCTATAGTTCATATTCATAACCGATGAGTGTTGATCAAAAGTTTTGCCATGTTTTGTACGAGATTATTTGCTGTTTGCGTAACCATGAGACGCATCGATTCGATTTCGATGACGTGTGTGTGTGTGTGTGTGTGGCCCAACCATTCTAAATCATGACGCGAGACGATGTTGTATTTCAATAAGTTTCACCGTGTGTCTCGGTAAAACCAGGAGGCTGCAACATTGACTTCTTTCCATACTAATTTGACGTTTGTCACTGGTGAACGATTTTGTAGCGCCATCTGTACATATTTGACTATTCAAAGTGAACTAGCTGTCATCAGTATCGATAAGTCATCAATGTTCAATTTTAGGTCATAAACGACACATTTATAATTTGCAATGTACCGTTTATGACCCAAAATTGAACATCGATGACTCATCGATACTGATGACAGCTAGTTTCTTTTTGAATAGTCGTATATGTGCAGATGGCGCTTTTTGTGTGTGAGGCGATATGTTGCAGCTGTCTGGGTAAAACGTGTAAATCGAGCATGAATTTTACGGCATAGTCGAATATGATCGAATTGAATATCAATGCAAAATGATTTTTTTATGCCGACTAACTTACTGCCGAGTAAGCAATTCCACGATGAAGAGATGATGCCAGTCGAGCGTCAATTTTTTTCAGATATTTTTCATATCGCAAAAATTGGAAGAAGAAGAAGAAGAAGAAGCACAGACAAAATAACGGCAGCAGCTCAAGGCTGCTAAAGCATTCCGCTTGGAAACTCATTGAACACCGTGAACATTTATCAGTATGCCTAAGCATGTACAGAAAAATGGCGTTTCAAACACATAGAGAAAGCAAGAAGGAGAGAGAGATAAAAAAAAACTCGTAACGTTTGTCTAGTCTTGCGTTTTTAACCAGATTCAAAGTACCAAATCATGCTCAGCCAATCGAGCGGATAATTTTATTACTGTGCAATGTGTTGAAGGGTTCCTACCAAAAACCACACTCACAAATATACTCTCTCTCACACATATCCAGCATGAAGCCGAGATTTTGTGCAGGAACATCGAACAAAAAGTCGCACATTTTTTGGCCTTTCTATGAAAAATGAGCATTTTTCTTTTTGCGATGGGTATTTTCTCGCTGCTTATGATGAGTATGACATTTTTCTGGTCGATGATGGCCTAAATATCGATTTAACTTTTTCATTTTCGATTCTTTTTTCGCTTCCATTTTTCATTTATTGAATGGCAGGTTCCGCTTCCGTTGCATCACAATCAAAGTACCATTGGGTTTTCGTGGTGTTTTTTTTCGCTCGAAAATGGGATTAGATAAATTTCGATTAAAAACCGCTGTAAACAAAAAGCAGTAGGTGGTTTTGTGTGATCCACTTCATATTTCCGCTTTTGAATTCTTTTTTGCTGCATTTAACTTTTGTGTACGAAAAAAAAAACACATGCATTCTTTCGAGAGTGAAAGGATCGTAATGTGAAATATGCTTTTTAACGACTCGACTGAAGAAAAGAGTGAGAGAGGAAGATAGCGGAAGAGAGCAAGCGAGAGGCAGATAGATAGAGAATGGAGGAAAAAGCAACGAAAACAAATCGGAATATGTTGCAAGTAGCTTGAAAAAGTGTTAGTTCGCGGGAAAAAAAATGCATGAATTCAGGAAATGTTCAAACAAAACGAAGAAGAGCTCGAAAAAAACCATTCAACATTTTAATAAAGATAATTCGAATGGAAAGCGCACAATACATACACGCACACACACAAGTGAAGCATCTTCTTTTCAGTTTGAAAATAAAGGAATGAAAAAAAAGTAGCGAGATGTTAGTATCAAAAGTCTAGCGTTTGAACAATTGAGCCGAGGAATTTATTGAATGGTTTGCTTTAACAGCTTATCAAAGTCATTTCACGTTTGACACACATTTTACCATTCGCATTCCCTTCAATTGATTGTTAATTTAGTTCCCACGCTCGACCCACAAATCCATCAAAAGATCTTTCGGTTTTCCTCTCTCTCTCTCTCCCTCTCTCC